TAGAGAACAACAGGACCCCAACCCTGTCCTTTGGGGCTGGCCTAAGCACCTGGATCTAACTCTCCTTATGTCTCTTGCTGTTCCAGAATGCAGAGGCAAATGCCACCATGCACCTAGGATAACAGGATGCCAGTGGGGCAAGGGGTAAAGGAATATGCAAGGTGTCTAGTTGCCCCTCTCCAGCCAGCAGCTTACCCAGAGGCTGTCATGGCACTGGTGCCACGAGGCTGGGCTCCTTCTCCATCCCTTCCTGCTGTCTGGAAGCTGCTGGAAGGCTGTTGGGCAGACTGGAGTGGGGAGAAGGAACGCAGGGCCGAGGCCACTTCAGAGAGATGGCGGGAGGCCTGTCCATCCCGGCTCATGTGGAAGCCCAGTGCTGAAGAGCCTGCTATCACATTGGCAATCAGGCTGTGAGGCTGCAGAGTTGAAGGGAGAGAGTCACTGTCCTGTGCAGAACTGGAGGACTGATCCCCACCAGCAACAGAGAGTTGAGGCACCTCAGCTATCTCGGCCCCTCTCCCACCTCACAGGGCTCCAGGACAGCCTGACGCCTTCTCTAGAAACCCAGAAGTGTCCCAGCTAATGCTAATCTATCACATTTACAGCCCCAGATACATCTCAGGCAAGGGAAAAATTTCCCAGAAGACCTGATAATCAGTTTGCAAGCATCCAGCAAGCACCCCAAGAATACCCCACATCCCTCAAGCCTAAGCACCTCTGACTCTGACTGCAGGGACTGGATGGAGCTGAAGAGGGCATTTTCAGGGAGCACAGCCTGCTGAGCCAGCGCCACACTGCTGTCCCGGTGCACCCGCTCCTTCAGGAAGCCGATGAAGGCTGTGCTCTCGCGGGGTGGCTGCCACTTGGGGTTGGTGATGGCGAAGTGCATGAGGGACAGCTCTGTCTTTCCATCCTCAGCCTGCTGGTAAATGGAGGCCTCTGTCTTTCCTGCCGACATCCACTGTAGAGCACAGAGAGATAATGAGGGACAGGATCTGCTTTACACCGGAGCCAGGCCTAGGAATCCTGTAATCGGTCTGGCCAAAACTTGCAACACCCAGCACAAACTGGGCCCTGGCTCCATATAACAGGTGCTACACCAAAAGCCCCATGCTCACTCAGCCCTCACAGCCTGGGGAAGAAGCAGTAAGCACAGTGTCTTCTACCTCCATCCCAGAACACGTATCACTGCAAGGGAACTGGAGAGCTGGGAACAGTCACAGAATACAGAGCTAAATGCCTTGTCCTGCACCCTCCAGCTCATAGCAGGAGTGATTACTGTCAACAAATGATTACTCTCAAAAGCTTCCCACCACACTGCATTTGTCCCCTCCCCAGTTCATGGAGGGGCACTCACTATG